CTTCAGTTAGAGACTCTCTCTCTCATTGCACTTTCTTCATTTCACTATTGCATCTGTCACACATACCCATCATTAAATGCTAATGCCTAAATTGACTGATAATACTGGGGACTATGGCAGCTTCATAGGCGACTATGGGAGATGGAGATGGGAGCGGGCAAGGCAATTGAGTGGCACTTGGAACCTGAATTGACAGAATTGGTTAAATATCTCTGAGAGTATGGAAGCACCAATATTACATTTAACATAATCTGCTGCTAAGAACTATCACAATTACCCACAAGCGCTCAGTATATTTGCTATATCTGTAATTATCCTGGGCCCTTCTTATAGAAAATGACAAGTGACTGTTCTCCCTGTCCAAGTCTCTTGGAAAAGAGGGAAAGGAACCTCTGCAGAAGGCTAGGTGACACAGATCCAGACACACATGGGAGTAGAGACAGCCAAAGTGACATGGAAACAGAAGCCCTGGATCTAGGCTGACATCCTGGGCAGGATATGTATTAGGGCAGTGTTTTTTGTAAGCTTCAGGGTGTCCCCTCCTTTAGAGGAGTGTGAAATAAATTTAATGGGTTGCAATCAGCATCTATTTTAAGTGAAACAGAACAGAAAGAATAGAAAATAACAGCTTGTGTCACACATGGCATAAGATAATCACTTTCTGTGAAACTTTTTTAATGTGTATGTATGTGTATGTTAGATCATAAGATAAAATGTATTTTTTAACTGTGGGTCATAATCAAAAACAGTTTAAAAGACTCTGGACAAGAGGCTTAAAGCAGACATCCAAGTTACATATGGCAGAAGAGAGCATAGGAAGAGTATGTGACCAAGGAGGAGATATTTCAGTTACGTCTTACAGGGACTGTTAGAGAAGGGAAAGGATGTTCTGGAGAAAGTGCGTGTACAAAGGCACTTTTGGGGAACAACAGAAGTCCGTGAGGATGGAACCTCATGTAAGTAGGGAGGCATGGCAGAAGATGAAGGTGAAGAGGAAGATAAGTTGAGGTTCCATTGTGAATGGTCTTATACATGAAGCAAACAGGGTTTATTTTGATAAACTTTATTTGTTTTTCAGGCTGAGGAAGCTTTTTTTAAAAAAGGAAGATAAGCCTAGTATCTTGAAGTCCACCGAGGAAAATGATCACGGTACCGTTTATTGAACATAGACAATGGGTCAATGTTGAACTTCTTTATATACATTAGTTTTATAACTGACTGGCACAGTAACTGCTAATATGGTTGGTATTACAGTGACTCTCGCTTGACAGATGAGCAGACCGAGGCTCAGAGACTTTTAGTTGCTACAGGCCATCCATCTATCAAGTGGAAAGGGTGGGCAGATCTGACCCCAAAAACAGGGCACTCACCAGTTCACAAAGATGGAGCCTCTAGATAGCAGCCTCATCACCTGGGAGAGACCAAAGGCAGAGAATACTTGGTTTTCACTCCAGCTTATGGCTCAAGCACAAGCAGACTGCTTTTCCTACTTGTGGGAGGTGAAAGAAATGTCTGGAGGGGACTAGGGTAGGGACCAGCAGCCACACTGTCTCCCCACATCTTCAACTCTTGCTCTTCTGTCTGCAACCCTTTCTTTCCCTGCTTTAGTATGACTACCTTATGTCTCTGCCTTTTTATAAAACAGGGATAATGCTATCTGTTATTAGGGATGTAATGATAATTCCACAAGTTCTTCTTTAAAACACTTTGAGAGTAAAGTAGTTACTGCTATTGAGTTGTTCATTTTATACTTTTTTTTTTACTTGCATTTGAGGGTACATTGTTACAGCTCAATTTCCAAGAGCCAGCTGCCTTTTGTTACTCTTATTTTTCTCATTTACACGTGGAGGCTATAAGGCCCTGGGCAACTAAAGTCAAGTGGCAAATTACTGCCTAGCTCAGTTCTTACTTAATTAAATGTACAGTCTCTTTCTCTGGTCTCACTGGCCAGCCTGAGAAGTGGGCAAATCAGGCAGCTAACTACTTAAATATGTGAAAGATGCTAAAAGGCCTCTACCTAAAAATGCCTCCCAAACAAATGATTCTAATTCTACACACTTTCCAGTGGCCTGAAAAAGACACATCCCTTGTGGAGAAAGGGGAACCCTCTTACACTATTGGTGGGAATGCAAACTGGTGCAGCCACTCTGGAGAACAGTAAGGAGATTCTTCAAAAAGTTAAAAATAGAACTACCCTATGACCCAGCAATTGCACTACTAGGTATTTATCCAAAGGGTACAAAAATATTGATTCAAAGGGGTATATGCACCCAATGTTTATAGCAGTGCTGTCAACAATAGCCAAATATCTATCTCTCTATCTCTCTCTCTATCTATATCTATACCTATCGCGGAATATTACTTGGCATTCAGAAAGAATGAAATCTTGCCATTTGCCATGATGTGTATGGCACTAAAGTATATTATGCTAAGCAAAATAAGTTAGTCAGAGAAAGGCAAATACTATATGATTCTACTCATGTGGAATTTAAGAAACAAAATATGAACATAGAGGAAAGGAAGGAAAAATAGAGAGGGAGACAAACCATAAGAAACTCCTCATATAGAGAACAAACTGAGGGCTGCTGGAGGGGAAATGGGTGGAGGGATGAGCTAAGTGGGTGATGGGCATTAAGGACACTTGTGATGAGCACTGGGTGTTATATGTAAGCGACAAATCCCTAAATTCTACTCCTGACCCAAATGCTACACTATGTATGAGCTCATTTGAATTTCAATAAAAATTTGGAAGAAAAAACACATATCCTTTCCAACTTGTTTAAGGTATGAAGTTACCTGACAGGGATAATTTATTAGCTAACTAATTAGCCTGTCACAGAAGCCACCTGCCTCCAAAATCACCCAGAATAGAGAAGGGATCTGTAAGAATGACACCCAGAATTACATGATTTGATGGGTTAAGGGAGTCAGTAAATTTAGAGTTAAGAATTAAGGGAAGAAAAAAATCCAGCATTTGAAGCACCATTAGGGAAGGCTAAAACCCTGGAGCAGCCTAAGCACTTAGAGACATATGCATCTCTAGGAGAAAAGGTTTTAAATACAGGAGTAGGTGGGGAGTTAGTTTTGTAATGGGTACAGAGGTTTAGTCAAGGAAGATGAAAAAGTTCTAGAGATGGATGTGATGGTGGTGGCTCAAAAATGTGAATGTCCTTAATACCACAGAAGTGCACACTTAAAATGGCTAAACGCATAAGTTTCATAATTTTGTACACTACAAATATATTCTAGACAATCTGGGACAGAAATAAAGTCAAGGTTGCTTTCACCAATGTTGCCTTAGATGGTATTGTAGTCAGCAGTTAAGGTGGGGCCAGTGATCCTCACATCCTAGTATATTCTCCCCTGTGTTGTCCCATCCCACAGTGGATAGGGCTGACCCAAGTAACCAACAGCCTACAGCAGAAATGACCTTCCAAGGCCAGCTCATAAAAGACATTGCAGCTTCTAAATGGTTTTCTCTTACATCTCTTGCTCTGAGGGAAGTGAGCCGCCACACTGTGAAAACATTCATGCAGCCTATGGAGAGGTCCAGGGATGAGAAAGTGAGGCCTCTGGGCAACCTGCCAACCCACTGGGGAGCCACCCAGAAAGCAGATCCTCCGGCAGCCCCATCCAACATCTGGACTGCAACCTCGTGACAGAGCCTAAGCCAGAACCACGCGGTTACCACTTTCCTCACCCACAGAAATTGTGAGATAACATTTATAGTTATTTTAAGACACTGTTTTGGGGGATAATCTGTTACATAGAAATTAATAACACACAGGTAGAATGAAGACCTTTCATCAAGTGCTTCAGTCATTTCTGTATCTCTATTTGTTCCTGGATTATATCACAATTGCTTAAAGATATTCAGTGATCCCATTTAGATAAAGTTGCATTTACCTTTATATTTTTTTTAAGCTTATTTACTTTGAAAGAGAGACAGCACGAGTACATGGGTGCATGGGAGAGGGTCAGAGCGAGAGGCAGAGAGAGAATCTCAAGCACGGGTTTGATCTGACGAACCGATAGATGGCGACCTGAGCAGAAATCCAGAGTGAGACGCCCAACCACTGAGCCATGCATGTGCCTCTATCTTTATATGTTTTAAATACCCAACAGGTAACTTAAAAATATTTCCCCAAACTGGAGGAGCATTGCTGAATTTCAGACAGTTAAGGGTAGGAAAAGCAATTCCTAAACATAATCTACCTTCTCAGGTAATGGGAATGTTTTTCCTTTAATACTTTTTAATGCTTAAAAACCTGAAGGCAGGCCAGTGTTTTAAACCATTTTACTCCTTGGGGCTCCTGGGTGGCTCATTCGGTTAAGCACCTGACTCTTGATGTCAGCTCAGGTCATGATCTCATGGTTCTCTGACAGCACAGAGCCTGCTTGGATTCTCGCTGTCTACCTCACTCTCTGCCTCTCTCTGTCTCTCTCTCTCTCTCTCATAATAAATGTTTAAAAATGTTTAAATCATTTTACTCCTTAATCTCTTGATTAATTAATACTCCTTGAATGCTCTTTAAATATACTTGTACAAAAAGAGGAGGTGGGGCCCCCGGATGGCTCTGTTGGTAGAGAATGTGACTCTTGATCTAAGGGTTGTGAGTTCAAGCCCCACACTGGGTGTAGACATTACTTAAAAATAAAATCTTGGAGCACCTGGGTGGCTCAGTCGGTTACGCATCTGACACTTGATTTCAGCTCAGATTCTGAGCTCATGGTTCATGGGATCAAGCCTTGCGTCTGGCTCTGCACTCACAGCATGGAGCCTAGGATTCTCTCTCTCCTCCCTCTCTCTCTGCCCCTGCCCCGACTTACGCACACACACTCTCTCTCTCTCTCAAAATAAATACATAAACATTAAAAAATAAAATCTTAACAAAAAGAGAAGGTAAATAAATAAATACAATTAATTAATTTTGAAAACCAACTTAAGAGCTTTGTTAGAGCTCACTTCTTTTCTCTTGGCTCTGTATGCATGTACCTACCTAGAATTCTAATCTCCGCATCTGTGAGTCTCCAGTTTTTCAGCCCAAGCTTGATGAGCCGCAGGGCCCCCTCCAGTTGCTCCAACAGCCTGGTCAGACTAACTCGTACATCACTCCACCAGGGCAACATGAGCACAGTCAGCTGTTCCAGGATGTACAGCCTGTCAACTTCAAGAACCAGAGAGCAATGCAGGAATTGAATCCATCTCAATGGATTCTTCTTGATGAAGAATGAAGGGATGTGGGAGAAGGAATAGTCTTTATCTCTGCAGCCTACTCATTGTGTGATGATGCGATGAGAATCTACTTGAATTTTGGTTAATATTTTTGTGGAAAGTACTCAAGAGTATACAAATATTATGCAGAATAGTATAATGAAACTATATGTACTAATAAGCCAACCTTCAACAAACATCAGTTTATGGACAAGCTTCCTTCATCCTCACCTAATTCTTTTTCTCCTGAATTATTTTAAAGCAAATCTCAGACAGTAAATACAGTTCTTTTTTTATTTTAATTTAATTAATTTATTTTTTATTTTTTTAATGTTTATTGTTGAGAGACAGAGTGTGAGCAGGGGAGGGGCAGAGAGAAAGGGAGACAGAATCTGAAGCAGGCTCCAGGCTCTGCAGAGCCCAATGCAGGGCTCAGACTCACGAACCTTGAGATCATGACCTGAGCTGAAGTGGACGCTTAACTGACTGAGCCACTCAGGTGCCCCATATAGTTCTTAAAAAAAAAAAAAAAGAAAAAAAATGTAATCACAATATCACTATCACACTTTAAAAATCTTGTCATTGGGGTGCCTGGGTGACTCAGTCAGTTAGGTGTTTGACTTTGGCTCAGGTCAGGATCTTTCAAACTCAGGTTTGTGAGTTTGAGCCCCACATCAGGCTCTGTGCTGACAGCTCAGAGCCTGGAGCCTGCTTCAGATTCTGTGACTCCCTCTCTTTCTGCTCCTCCCCTGCTTCCACGCTGTCTCTTTCTCCAAAATAAATAAACATTAAGAAAATAAAATAAAATAAAAATCTTATCATTAACTCCTTAAACAAATTCGTTTTGAATATCAATTAGTCTCAGACACTGGCCCTCTAGAATGAAGCAAGCAGTTGGGAGCCTCAGGTGTGATGAGCGTGTGAAAACTGGTAGCTCAAAGTCATTGGTCTGTGTCCCTTGAGGGATGACTAGTAAGGCACACATGGACCAAAAAACATCAGGGCCCAGATACGTGTTTCTGACTAGCTAGTACATATACTCAACTATGTGATTTTGGCTAAATTGTTATTCTTACTCAGTTCATGTAGAGCTTCATTTCCATCCTTTTCCAGGTGATTTTCAGATAAATCAAGAATGCTCAGTTTGGCCAAATTGTGAAGATTCTGAGCTGGGAAAAAATTTCAATCCAAAATTAAAAGGCTTTTACAGAACTATATATGCATTTAAAAAATATCCTTAGGAGAATCCTAAGTCCTTGTCTTCTTTGTTGGTAGCATACACATCATTATTTGACCTGATTAGTTAAATTATTTAATTATTCCCAAAGGTATCTGGCTAGATTTAACCCTGAACTTTCATGGCTATGACTAAATGAACAGATAGATATTTCCAGTCCTAAGCTCTGACTAATAAACTTCATGTAAAGCCTAATGCAGCATAAAATATACTTGTTACATAACTATAGGAAGGTCACTCCATTTCTCCAAGCTTCCACTGAGGCTTCATCTTTAGAATGAGGAAGTTGAGGGGCGCCTGGGTGGCTCAGTCAGTTGAGTGTCTGACTCACAGTTCCTGAGTTTGAGCCCTGCATCAGGCTCTGTGCTGGTGGGGTGGAGCCTCCTCAGGATTCTCCCTCTCCCTCTTTCTCTGCCCCTTCCCTGTACACACTCTTTCTCTCCCTCTCAAAAATAAACTTAAAAAAAAAACACACAAAAACTTAAAAACAAAGAACAAGGAAGTTGAACTAGATAAAATGTAAGATTGTTTCCAATTCTAAAATGTCCTTATGCAGGAGAAACAAAGGAACAACAACAACAACAAAAACAGATGAAATGAGCAGTTCTTTGTTTATCTTAATTTAAATGATTTTGGTAATGTCATAGTTGTGATGTTAATAATAAAAACTTAGGAAGTAAAAAAAAAAAAAAAGAGGTGAGAAAAATAGAAAACAAATAGCAAAATGGCAGATGAAAATCTATCCACATCAATAATTACATTAAATGTAAATGGACTAAGCACTAATTAAAAGGCAGAAATAAGACTGGACTTTTTTTTTTTTTTCCCAAAAAGCAAGACTCAATTCCATGCTATCTGCAAAAGATATAATTATGTTGAGGTAAAAAATATGGAAAATTATTTTACACGCAAACATTAATCATAGAATACCATCACTCTAGCTAAAAACTGCTTTAGTTCTTTTCTTTACATTAGGTATTTATCATGGTTGTTTAATCTAATTGAAGTTTCTCCTATCAAGACTAATAAGAAATATCTCTAATTAAAAGAGGTTTTTCATGATATATACTCTTATTAAACTATTAGCTATTATTATTATTATTAGCTGTTTTTAAAATTATTTTTTTAGGTAAGCTCTACACCCAACCTGGGGCTTGAACTCATGACCCCAAGATGAAGAATCACATGCTGTACTGACTAGCCAGCCAGTTGCCCCAGCTATTATCACTTTTACTCAATTGTAGAGTAAAATAACTTCTGGGGTTTGGTGCTTTAACATAAAAACCCATGGAACTTCTCTCAAAAAGAGTACAGCTGCTATTTATAGTTCTAAGTCTGTCTGTTTCCAGGATCAGGTAGAGAAGTAAGGATCTACTTATCCTTGTTTTCCTAGTGTTTATCTAGCCTCTTCTAATCATGGGTTTCTCTAGCTTTTGGTTTATAGTAGCATACAAATGATTTCATTTTACAGATTCCGAGCAGTTTTTTTAAGTTTATTTTTTTAAGTTAAAAAAATTTTTTTTAGTTTATTTGTTTTGAGATAGAGCACAAGTGGAGGAGAGGCAGAAAGAGAATCTCAAGCAGGCTCTGTACTGTCAGTGTGGAGCTCAACATGGGGCTTGATCTCACAAACCATGAGATCATGACCTGAGCCAAAATCAAGAGTCGGACGCTAACTGACGGAGCCACCCAGGCACCCCAAGACTCAATTCTTATATTAATGTACGTTAGCTGCATTTTAAAAGGGCAGTGGGTAAGAATTGGATGGCCTGAGAACATTTAAGAAAATCCTTCTCTCTCTGCTTCTCAATCATTTATTTATCCATCATCTAAATATTTATTAGGCAGTTATTATATAACAGAGCATGTGCCAAGTTTCAAGCACCTATTTCTTCTTTTCTTTTTGTTCACCATATCTTAAAATTATAATATCTTCCATTATTCTGAAATGTTCTCCTAATTCTCCATTTTCATTCCAGTCATAGAGAAGATCATTAAAAACAGGCTAGATATTACCTGGAAGTCTTTATTATCTTTTCCAGTTTCTCTAAAAATTAAATTTCCTTTTGAGAGACTTAACATGCATTAGTATGAAAGTATCACATGTTCTCTTACACTGTTCTCATTCACTTAATGCAGGCAACAGTTACCTAGGGTTTTCATAGCATTGGCAGATAGGCAGCAGGAGACTAATTGGATTTCTTCAAGGTCACAGGGTTCAGCTGACAGAGACTTTACTATGTAATCCATTCCCTTCCCAATATCAGACAAGTGGGTCATATGAAGTAAACACAACTTCTTCAGGTTTGTCAGACCTTCAGCTGCAAAAAGTAGGAAAGGAAATACATTAGGACACCAAGTTAATTTGATTTAAACATAGACTGATGGACTGAAAAGAAAGCAAAGAACAATTGCACACAGATCTTGCCACACTCTATCTCTAGAGACCTTGAGTTATAAAAGCTGAAGAGAGTTGTTCTTCTTTCAACCATTACTCTCCAATCTCCTGGACCATACCAAGGTCACCTATGTGGAGGTCATTCTCTCAGTAACATGAGAAAAACTATAGTAAATGGGCAGTATTTTAATGCATATCAATGAGTGCCTTTTACCATATTTTTGGTAGGATGAGGATGAAATATTTTGAATGAGCCCTTTCTCTTAATCTCCCCCCAAATTTTAGGAGGGGTGGAGTCTGAATTCAGAGGGGTAGCATGGGGACTTCAGTTCCTTGGTGTGCTTCTAGTGTAACTGTTTATAGTCAACTATATAGTTTAGGGGTTGTGAACATGAGCTTTGCAGTCAGTTTGATTCCTGGATCCCATACTTTAATTGTGTAACCTTGGACAGGTTATTCAACATTTTGGCTGTGGATTTAGGGATAATTATACCTATGTCCTGGGACTATTGTGAGGATCCAATGAGAGGAAGTATGTAAAAGTACCTAGTGTAGTGTCTAACCTATGCATAGTAACCCTTTAATAAACAATAAATTTAGATTTGTCTATTTAAGCTCAGACTGGTTCCTTTTTTTGTTTTTAAAGTAGGCTTCATACCCAGAACAGAACCCAATGTGGGGCTTGAACTCGGAACCCTGAAATCAAGACCTGAGCTGAGATCAAGAGTCAGATGTTTAACTAACTGAGCCACCCAGGCGCCCCCTACCCCAGACTGGTTCCTGGGGACCAGATCATCTGAGATAGGTATTTTTGAACCCTTTGTACCAATTAGTGAGACCTTGCACAAGTCAATAAACTGTTCTAGGTTTCAGTGGCAGTAAAATGAGAGAGTTGAACTAGATGCTCTGAGGCTCCTTCCAGCTCTAATACTCTGAGTAATTTATAGGCATGCAACAGATGTTTATTGAACACTGAATTAATCTGATTATTCTTATATAGGCCATGTAATGAAAAAAAGGGCAGCCATTTTTCAATTATAGGATAAGGTTGTCTTTAGGCAGGAAGCAGAATAAAAAAGAATAAGGCTGAGGAACATTTAACTGAGGGCTCAAACAGTGGGGAAAAAAAGAGCCATGGGGGAGGGGGCAGAAAGCAAGGACACTGGAAGAAAACAGCTTCAATGGGAATTCTCCCTGTCCTGGAGAGGCTGGCTCCCTGTGACAAACCACACATTCTGCTCGTACTGTTTAGGTTTTCTTGGTCCACATTCCTTCTTGTGTTCCATTCCATTTACAAAGCTTTATTTAATTATGAAACCACAGTATAAACTTTTTTATACTATTTCTATGCTTCAAATATAAACATAGTCAATCAGCCAGGAAGATAAAAACATATCATGGCTTCTGTCCCCCAAAGCGTTACAGTCTAGGTGTGTGCAATTTACATAAAATGGTGCTGAAGGATTGGAATGGCCATGGAGAAAAACGTCTAGAAAATCAATGTAACACAAGTAGATTAAGGCATCCTTGCCTTATACAGACACAACCAGTGTCTAGGAGTCTTAAGTTAACTGTTCTTATTATCAAACTTACATTAATAAAAATAACAAAGAAAATAAAAATCTGACCTAAATTTATAGCATCTTCCTCATTCATCTTAATGTTGTACAGTATGAGCTTCATAAGATTCTTCAAATTACCCAAGCTGTCAGTCAGACCACCTGGAAAAAGAAAAAAGAATTGACTATGTTCATTTGTCATTTACTAGATTTTTGTTACCAATCAAAAAATTTTAGCTACTCCATGGGCAAGAAATGCTCGTGAAATTGACACAAGAGTGTTTTGCTTTTGTTTTTTTGGTCAGAGATGGGCATCTTCTTTAGCTAAAAGCATGTTCTCCGAATATAATGGAGTTAGACTAGAAAATAATAACAGAAAGATAACAAGAAATTTCCAAATACTTGGAAATTTAATAATAAGACTTGTAAGGTTTTCATGATGCTATCATTAAATAATATAAATCCCAGACCAAGAGAATAAAACAAAAGAAAACTTAAGACGAGTATCATTCATGAACATAGAAGCAAAATCCTCAATAAAATATTACTAAAGAGCTCAACCATATATAAAAAGAATATTATACAACCACCAAGTGGGCTTTATACAGAGAATGCAGAGCTGTTTCGATATTTGGATATCAATGTATGTAATTCAATGTATTAATCTAACGAAGAAAAACTACATGATCAAGTATGTTGATGCAGAAAAAAAATTTGACATTATCTGACATACATCCATAATAATTCTCAGCAACCTAGGAATAGAAGGAAATTTCTTCAACCTGATAAAAGTCATCTACAAAAAAACTACAGTTGATATCATACTTACTGGTGAAAGTCTGAATGCTTTGTTGCTAACATCAGGAACAAGGGAGGATGTTCACTCTCACCCCTCTTATTCAACATTGCACTGCAAGTCATAATCAGTGCAATAAGGCAAGAGAATAAAATAAAAACAAATTGGAAAGGAAGAAATAAACCTGTTCTTTTTGGAAGTGACATGAAGTGAGTGTAGCAAATGTGCAGATTATAAGATTGATACACAAAAATCTATTGGATTTCTATATAGTAGCAATAAATATTTGGCAACCAATTTTTTAAAATTCCATTTACAGTAACTCCAAAAGAATCAAAAAGTTAAGTGTAAATCTGATAAAACATATGCAGGATGAACATGATGAAAACTATAAATTATGATAAAGGAAATAAAAGAAAATCTAAATAAATGGAAAGAGAAACCATGCTCATGGATTGAAAGATTCAACAAAATAAAGTTATCAATTCTCCCTAAAATGGCTTATAGATTTAATATAATTCCAACCAATATCCAGGAAGTTTTTGATTATATAAACAATGTGAAAGCCAAAGGAACCAGAATATAAAAAACAATTCTGAAAAAGAATAAAGTTGTAGAAACAACACTATTCAATTTTATGACTTCCTATAAAGCTACAGTTACTAAGACAAGATGAAATTATCAAGGAATAGACAAGGGTACTGGCAATTGATGGATCAATAGGCGAATAGAGTCCAGAAACACAGCCAACATAATGACAGCCAAATGGTTTCGGACAAAAGTACAAAGGCAATTCAAACATGAAAGAATAGTCATTTCAATGAATAGAACAACTGGATATCCGTATGCAAGAAAAATGAACCTTGATCTAAGCATCATATTTTATATAAACATTAACTCAAATGGATCATAAATGTCAATGTAAACTTTAAGAAAAAAAGATAGGAGAAAATCTTCATGACCTGGGGTTAGGAAAAAAGTTTTTAGACATGACACCAAAAGCTTGATTTGTACAAGAAAAAATGACTGCAACTAAATCTAAAATTTTTGTTCTATGAAAGATGCTATTAAGAGAATGAAAAGACTAGGGGCACCTGGGTGGCTCAGTCAGTTAAGCGTCCGGCTTCAGCTCAGGTCATGATCCCATGGTCCATGGGTTCGAGCCCTGCGTTGGTCTCTGTGCTGACAGCTCAAGAGCCTGGAGCCTGCTTCAGATCCAGTGTCTCCCTCTCTCTCTCTGCCCCTCCCTGACTCATGCTCTGTCTCTGTCTCTCTCAAAAATAAATAAATATTAAAAATTTTTTAAAAAATGAAAAGACTAGCTACAGATTGGGAGAAGATGTTTTCAAATCACTTATCTGACAAAGGACTGGTATTCTTCATACACATTTGAGCATATAAAGAACACTCAAAACTCAACATTAAGAAGATAAATTACCTAATCAACAGATGGATGAAAACTTAAGATACTTGGCCAAAGAGGTATATAGTTGGCAAACAAACCTATAAAGAGTTTTCTATTTTATCAGATAAGTATGATGAAAGAACACTACACCCAGAGTTCCAGTTGCTCTACATCCTCGTCTCCACTTGGTGTTGTCAATTTTTTTTTCTTATTTTAAGGCAATTGTAGAATGACAAAAATAAAACACACACACACACAGACAGGATGGTAAGTGCTAGTGAGAATGCAGAGCAGCTAAACCCCTCATATATTGCTATTGAAAATGTCAAATGGTACAAACTGGAAAATAGCGTGGAAGTTTCTTAAAAAGTTAAACAAGCACGAGGGGCACGTGGGTGGTTCAGTCAGCTGAGCATCTGACTCCAGCTCAGGTAGTGACCATGAGTTTGAGCCTCACATCAGGCTCGCTGCTGTCAGCACAGAGCCCGCTTCAGATCTTCTGTCCCCACCCGCCTCTCCCCTGCTTGCGTTCTCTCAAAAATAAATTAACATTAAAAAAAAAGTTGGGAGTGTCTGGGTGGCTCAGTGGGTTAAGAATCTGACTCTTGATTTCTGCTCAGGTCAAGATTTCTTGGTTGTGAGTTCAAGATCCACATCAGATCCACATCAAGATCCACATCATGTGGATCCACATCCACATCTGTGCTGACACAGCCTGCTTGGGATTCTCTCTCCCTACTCTCTCTGCCCCTCCCCAACTTGTGCTTGCCCTCTTTCTCTCTGAAAATAAATAAACTTAAAAAAAAAGTTAAAGACTTGTCATATGGCTTAGCAATCCCACTCCTAGGTATTTACCTGAGTGATTTGAAAACTTGTGTTTCACACAAAAACCTGCATACAAACATTTATAGTATCTCTGTTTATAATCGCCCAAACTGGAAATAACCTACGTGTCTTTCAGAGGTGATGAGATAAACTGTGGCATGTCCATATAATGTAATACTATTCAGCAAAGAAACAGATGAACTAGGAATATTCTGAAGAGATGTGGAGGGCAAAAATAGAAATCAACCTTGGGTAGAAATGTCAGGGAACTGAATTTTTAGCTATAAGAAAGGTGAGCACTGATTACAAACTCAAATGTCAACAAGGTCCAGGGAGATAATGTCATTCCAAGAAGTAGAACAGGTGGGCACTGTGCCCACGTGGATATTATGTATCTTGTCCAAAGGGCACAGGAGAAGTTCATGAAGCTCTACCAATTGTTACCAAGTGAAGATGCAGGCCCACAGTTGCTGGACCTACAATTGTCAAGAGAAATGAGTAACCTGTGTTTTCACACTGCAATCTCCCAATGTCAAAATGCTGACAACTCCGGCACAAGGGTCATGGCTGGGGGATGTGAAAGGGAAGGAGGTTTCACTGTAGATTGTTTTATAATTTGAATCATGTGAATATATTACTTATAAAATAAATTTTAAAAATTAAGAACAAAATATTGGCAAACATTCAAAAGAAAACTCTACATAATATGTAGGCTAAATTCAGCATAGAGGTGACAGTTTGCAAGATCAGCAGAAAGGAATAGCCATCAAGAGGAGATAGTGAACTTCCTGACACAGAAGGTAATCTAAATGAAGTCTTGGTGACTATGCCGAACCTTATGGAAGGGATTCCTGCATTAAGTAGAAGGTTGCAAAGATTATCTGTGCAAGAGATTCTAGATTTTTCAAAATATTTACTTATCGAGGCGGGGGAGGGGCAGAGAGAGAAGGAGAGAGAGAATCCCAAGCAGACTCCATACTGTTAGCTCAGAGCCCCACCAAGGGCTCAATTCCATGAACCAGTAGTGGAAATCAAGAGTCACTTAACCAACTGAGCTACCCAGGCGCCCCAGATTCTAGATTTTTAAAAAAAAATTTTTTTAACGTGTATTTATTTTTGAGACAGAGAGAGACAGAGCATGAACGGGGGAGGGGCAGAGAGAGAGGGAGACACAGAACCGGAAGCAGGTTCCAGGCTCTGAGCCATCAGCCCAGAGCCCGACGCGGGGCTCGAACTCACAGACCGCAAGATCGTGACCTGAGCTGAAGTCCGACGCTTAACCAACTGAGCCACCCAGGCGCCCCCAGATTCTAGATTTTTAAAGTGATATGAAATTTCCTTTACAGGGTGACAGATGAGGCAGAGCTTGATGAGAAATCTATTGCAAATGAAAAGTAATCTTGGATTACAGTCAAGTAGAGCAAGGCTCCTGCCAGCCTGTAGGTTCACACCACAAAGTAGCCCCTGTTCGAGTCAACAGGCTGGTCTACACAGGTAAATCTGGTCTGTACAGGTAAGGCAGACATTCACCTTTAATAGTATTTTGCATTTGGGGAAAATTTGCCTTTATTCAGAAAGATTGGCTCAACATGTATGTGTCTGAGATCTGAAATTTCTTCATGTTAGACAAAATCTGTCCCCACAATCTTTTTTCAAAATGAAATATAGTTGGCGTTGGGGGTGGGGGGGGGTGGTTATGCTCTGCAATCTCCTGGATGAGAATCCAGCAACACAATTAGCTACCAGCTCCTGCAAGTGATGAGTTTACAGGCTGGATTTCCTCCCAGAATTGAAGTGGGGAGGGGTGCCATTTGGCAGGGAAGCAGTGGGTAATGGATGGAGTTGGAGAAGGGGGACAGGTCAGTGAAGATGAGCTTAACCTACCTCACATGGATGCATGCACGCGCGCGCACACACACACACTACCATATAAACTATATTGCCATTCAGTCAGACCGTATAGCTTCAGCTCTGGGAATTCTCCCTAGGGCCTCCCCGTATGACAGTCTACCCCCTTATGGACCTCTCTTGCTCAGTCCTCCTACCTCTCTTCCAAGTCCTGACATCTGGTTGAAACTTTTAGAAAATTCAGGGACCCGTGGGTGGCTCAGTCGGCTAAACATCTGACTTTGGCTCAGGTCACGATCTCGTGCTTCATGAGTTCGAGCCCCAGGTTGGGCTCTGCGCTGACAACTCAGAGCCTGGAGCCTGCTTTGGATTCTGTCTCTCTCTTTCTCTCTCTCTGTGCCCCTCCCTTGTTCATGCTCTGTCTCTCTCTTTCTCTCTCTCAAAAATAAACATTAAAATTTTTTAAAAATGAAAAAGAAACTATTAGAAAATTTAAAGCAAAACTGTATGATATCTAATATTTCCATGGCACCCAAACAGGCTTGATTATAGCTTAAACTGCTGATGTTTGTAATACCTGGCAGCCGTGGAGTCTGTAGGTCCTGAATACTCAAGGTTTTTAGGTTTGTCACGGATGTGATATGCTGCTCATCTTCTATGGTGAGCGGACTGGCTTCCAGGATGAGAGAATAAATGTTCTTACAGGTGCGGAGGACCAAACTAAAGCTTCCGGCCACACCAGCACATCTCTTAATGCACAATCTGAGGTTTTTAGCAGAACTGAATATCTTTCCCAGATATTTGATATCTTGTTTATTCAACTTGCTGAAGTCCCGGAGTGTGACCTCCAGAGTCTTGAATTCCTGCTTCCAGTTGAAGAACAAAGACACAGCCCTGCTGGGAATGTAGGTTTCTGAGGACCCTTCCTGAGTCCTGCTTGTGTCTTCTGTGGTCGTGTCCCTCAAAGCCATAGCTTCTCCGTAGAAGTCCAGTTTAATGAAGTCCAGAGCACTTGCACAATTAGGCAAGTGTTCAAAGAAGTCAAATAAGTAATCGGGGATGTTCTCTGAGTTGATATATAAGCTTTTGCCACAAAAGAAAGCTTCAAATTCTTTACTCAGGTCTGATTTGGATATACTCTCATGGAATAGATTAATGCCACACTCTGTAAAGGAACTGATGTTTATGGCTTTCAGAGTTTCTTGCACGGTGGTGTTTTTCACATTTTGTATAGACTCCTGCCTCCAGAGAGGCTTCTGGGTGACGGAGAGCCCAAGGAGGCTGCCATGTTGATACACTGCTGCAAGGTGTTCCAGAACAGTCCTGGTGGCTTCAGGAGATGATCCACATGTGTACAGGAGCAGGTTGCTATACTTGGATGTAATGTCTGAAATGAAAACCATTTTCTGCAAATAACCTTTCCCCTTGGTCACTTCCTCTGGCTCTTGAGACTTCAGCAAACTGCTGAGTCTGCGTCCTGCTATGTACTCCTGGAAGGAGTTATGAAAGAATTTATACTTTGGCTTGAACTGTTGAGCTGTGTATTTACAGAGGAGTCCAGTTGTCAGTAGGACATCCTCGTTCACACTGGACATGTCCTCTGGTTGGAAATCAAACCTGTGGGAGAACACACCCTCCAGAGCTAGGTCTCCACAGTGGTTCAGGCTCTGAGCGAAGTCACCTGCAGCCAGCCCCTTAAGTTTGTACTTGTTCTTCTGTATCAGCAGGTCATAGAAGGTGCGGAACAGTGTTGTTTGTGTGTAGGAGTGGAACTCACTTTCCCCCATCTGGATTACACAAGTGATGACCACGAAGAGAGGGGTCTTCATCAGGTTCCTCAAGCATCTAGATTTCCTAATTTGGAGCAACAAGCCTTCAGCATGCTCCTTCATCAGCACTTCTCGGATGAGAGTCTGGGCACTGTCCTCTGTCATGTCCCCTACCTCGGCAATCAGGGCACCAAACTGCCTGATGTGTCTCAGGCACTCAGTGGTGGTGGTGACAATGACCGTATTCTTGAAGCGGTGGTTCTCCTTTATGAGGGCTTCAATCTCTGGGCAGTTCTGGGCCTTGAATTCATTGTAGCCATCAAGGAGAAACAGAACTCTCTGCCGTAGCTTCAGCAGCATGGCCATGAAAGTCTGCTTCCTGATGGTGTCAGGTATATCCAGGAGTTGATCACACAGAGTTTCAAGGAGCCCACCCTGGGCCCTGCTCAGACGGACAAAGAAGACTAATTTGAACTTGGTGAGAGCCCCACACGTTCCGGAAGCCCAGAGCATGGCGATTTGCTGCAGGAGAGTGGACTTCCCTTTGCCTGATTCCCCCTCAATGATGCAGGGACTCTGAAGAGTGTCTAGCAGCCCATCCAGGGTCAGCTGCTCCAATCGGTGATGGTGATGGTCCTTCTTCCATAGAACAGGTTCTGTGAAGGTGCTTTTCAAATTAAAAATAATGTCAAAGTCTTCACCCAGAGGATAGAAGTTCAGGAAAGATGGAGTATTGTATAAATACTTTAGACTCTGAGCCAAATCATCTAAGACTTCTTCTGACATCTGCTTAGAAAGACCTGTTAGAGAAGAGGTAAGGTTAGAGGACCCAATTCTGTGTTTCCCCAGAACTTAAGTTTTCAGGAGGATGAAGAGGGATTTATGTTGGGAATACTCCATTGGTGACTTTACTTTCCTTCTCCAGTTCTGAGCTGGCACAAAGGATTCCAAATATTTACTCTTCCCCTTTTGTCTTCTGTTTCCTTCTTTCCACCACATGGTCTTTGCAGCAGTCAATTGGAAATAGGAGTCTGTGTTTGGGTTAAGTTCGAAAGTGTGTGAGAATAGTGGGGTGGTGTGGGGTAACTTTCCCCAGATCAAGCCTTAACCTTGATTAAAATCTATCATAAAACAAAATACAAGTTACTATTTAATGATAATATTATTAAAAACGATTCCGCATTGGCCTAAAGAATGTCAAGAACCACGACTGCATTAATTTAAGTGCCTTCATTATCCAGTTTGATTTTGAAATGAGTCTTTACTAAATCATTAATCCCTGACCCTGGCATCACTTATTTGGCTTCACCAACAAGGGATATAATGGGAGTTTTTTCTGAGAGTGTCTGACTTTTTCCTTCGCAGAACCAAAACCCACTCCCCAGTGATGTAAGGAGGGAGGAGGGCAGAGGCTCTCTCGTGGGGATTATGAATCTTCTTCATGGTTTATTCTGTTTGTAGAACAGATACAAGAAAACTGATACTTACTTTGTCCATTCAAGTCCTGAAACAGGGGATAGTTCCATTTTTCAAGGGATTTGAGAAAGAGGTTACAGGATTCCGAACCCTTCTTCAGAATCATGTGAATGATCCCTCTTGCAGCATCCTGCTCAACCTTCTCACAGCAAATGACACTTACTTCTTCATAATTCAGAACATTCCACACAAATAGCTCATCCACAATTTGCTTTATAACAGTCATTCCCATCCTTTGAATGAGCACTTGACTATTCTCCTTTATGAAATTCACTGAGGAGATGGGGGAAAACACGCACATCGATTTATTTACGTAAAATGTACATCTCAGCATCCTGTTGACAGAGCAGTAGGGTCATGCAGTTTTCCCCCTCTGGACCCACCTTGAGCTATGGAAATGTCAAATGTTTGAATTCCAGGCCCTCAAGAAAAGCTCTGCAAAACCCTCACCCTCAATCCCAGAGTTTTTATTGAGCAACATGGTGTTTCTTTGGTCATGAAGTAAGGGGACCAGTCTTGTGCCCCAATATAAAAGGGTCTCTAGGGAGGTCATAGTGGTAAGACTGTGGGCTTTAGAATAATGAAACTGGCTTAGGATCTGCTAGTTGCTACCATCAGTGTAACCTCAGCAAGTTGCTAAATCTCTCTGAGCCTATTTCAGTGCTGTGCTGCTAAATATTGAACACACTTGGGACGCCTGGGGGGCTCAGTCGGTTAAGCATCTGACTTTGGCTCAGGTCATGACTTCGCAGTTTGTGGGTTCAGCCCCGTGTCGGGCTCTGTGCTGACAGTTCAGAGCCTGGAGCCTGCTTTGGATTCTGTGTCTCCCTCTCTCTCTGCCCCTCCCCCGCTCACACTCTGTCTGTCTCTCTCTCTCTCTCTCTCTCTCTCAAAAATAAATAAATATTAAAGAGTCTATTTTATATATATATGTAAGCACCCTTTTTCTCTGGGGGTAAAGGCCCTAATTTGTAGCATGTCACCAATCTCCATGGTAGAAATATTTTTGCCATGGCTGATTTCAAGCTAATAACATGTCAGCTGGCTAAGAAAACTCATGAAAATTCAACAGGTCTCACTAAACAGTAAGAACCAGCTCCACTCCAGCCCTGGTTGCTTACCTGTCATACTGGAGCTGGGAACACTATTGAACTTATGAAGTTACGAGAATTCCTGTATAATATCTCATACAAAAGAATAGCTCAATACGTTACTTACTGTTTTTAGCCAACGATTCTGCTGTCACCACTCAAAGGAGTAGCACATTTTACCTCCCATAGAATTTGGTCTTTTCTGTAGAGTATGTGTGCAAAACAGTCGTCTGTACCAGGGGTGAGCTCTGGCACCTCTCCAAGTTCCCGGAGAAGCTGTACACTTCTGTTTCCAGCTCTCTGAGATCTAACTCTCAGATGCAGACCACACTGCACCTAAGCAGCCCTTCACAGCTTGGAGAAATGTCTCCCTGGTTTTTCACTCTTGGGCACTGTCTGCACTAGTTTTCTTCCTGTATTAGGCTGCTCCTGCTTTTCAGATCTTAAGCTCATCTCATGTAAATGATGTGCTCCTCCTGAAGACCCCAAGGCCTCTCTGGTCTGAAAGGCACCATCTGGCACTCATTCTGATCCCCAGGATTTCACCCAGCTTCCCTTTCTGTCCGTCTCAGTTTCTACCACTAACCTCAGTTGGAATGGTACCAGATGACAGTGCACATGACCTGTCAGCGAGTCTTACCTCTCCCCTCCAGGGTCTCATCTGTCCTCTTGGCTTCTGCAGCATCCCTACAGAGATGACCCTTGAGTCTGAGTCTAGCCAGGCTCTTCATTGGATAGCCAAAGAAATGTCACCTCAGAGAGGCCTAGAGACTATGAAAGGTCACAAGGGTAGCCTTTTTAAATTTCTATTTAATATTTATTTTTGAGAGAGGGAGAGAGAGAGAAAGAGAGAGACACAGAGTACAAGTGGGGGAGGGGCAGAGAGAGAGGGAGACAGACTCTGAAACAGGCTCCAGGCCCTGAGCTGTCAACAAAGAGCCCAACATAGGGCTCGATTCCACAAACCGTGAGATCATGATGAGATCATAACCTGAAGTCAGACGCTTAACTGACTGAGCCACCCAGGCACCCAATGCTAGCCTGTTTGAGACTAACATTTCTTCATCTATAAAATTAAGACATTGATACTTTCTCTGTTTGGAAGACTGATGAGAAAGATTGAATAAAATCGCATAAGTCACATACACAAAAATGTTTTAAAATTTGAAAAGTGCACTGCTGTGTAACTGCAAGGTATTCTTATTGTTAACCGTGGTGTACCTCCCCCTGTCTGGACTACCATACTCCTCTCTTATCAAGTAATTAGGTGAAAACACTGCTGCTTATTCATTCATTCATTCATTCATTCGTTCAGTATTCATTTTTATCAGATTCTATCTAGGCCAGTGCTAATACAATACAATATTCTGAGATGATGGGCATGTCCTCAGTTTGCACTGTCCAGTAGAGTAACCACTAGCCACGGTGGCTCTTGAGCACTTGAAATGTGGCTCGCCCAACTGTGCAACTGAATTTTAAATTTTACTTAATTTTTATTTATTTAAATTCACATTTAAATAGATACATGTGGCTAGTGGTTACCATATTGGATAGCACGGGTCTCACTCCAGTCATCAAAGTGGAAAGCATTACATTTTGGTTGCCACTTGGATCCACACCATGTTTCTTCATAATGATCTTGACAGGTGTAGCTCTTTGCTGTCTGGATGGGAGGATGCGGCTGAATAGGGAATGGCAGGGGACCAACATTTTAAAACATACACCTGGTTACTCTTTGTGCGTAAATCCTGTTCTATATGGGGTTGTGCCGGTTATCATGGGTTGCCATGTTTGTAACTGAATTCTCAAAACCACACAATATTTATGGGGAATTCCACAAATAACTGTTGGGGAGAAGACACAGATTGATTTCCCATTCAATATCATCCATATTTGGTGGCACATTATACAACCAAGCAGATTTAATTTCTAGTATACTTACTTGTTCTGAAAAAAAGATTTTCACTTTTCTATATCTCAATAGATGATATTTCCAAATGCACAGGTCAAAGATGATTCTAATAGTGTTCCCTTCTTTTTGTACAACTGCTCCTCATTCTGTAAAACTAACAAAACAGAACCAAAAGCTATCAGGCAGCAACCATTGTCACTTTTGTACTTATTTTTTTCCACACCAAATAGGGACACACTGTATATACTGTTTGACATTCGTTTGTTTGTTTTTTTAATTTACTATATGTTTTCAGACCTTTCTATAGCAGTTAAGTTTTAAACTAATTCATTTTATTTAGTTATGTTTGTTTGTTTTAGTTATCTCTACACCCAATGTGGGGCTTGAACTCACAACCCTGAGATCAAGCGTCACATACTCTTCTTACTGAGCTAGCCAGGTGCCCCTTAAACTGCTTCATTTAAAAAATCAACCTCATTGGGGAGCCTGGGTGGCTCAGTTGGTTTGGCATCTGACTTTGTCCCAGGTCATGATCTCTTGGTTGACAAATTTGAGCCCCACGTTGGGCTCTGACAGGTCAGAGCCCGGAGACTGCTTAGGGTTCTGCGTCTCTCCCTCTCTCTGCCCCTCCCCTGCTCGCACTCTGTCTCCCTCTCAAAAATAAATAAACATTAAAAAAAATTTTTTTAATAAAAAAAAAATCAACC